GGGGGTCACTGGGGGGGGGGGGGGCGCGGAGATGTGTGCCCCCCTCCATTCCGAGTAACGCGGGGCCGCCCCCTACCCCGCCTCGTTCTCCTCACTCCTCCCCCCCCTCCTCCTCCCTCGTCATCGTCGTCGCCGCCCCTCAAAGACAGGCCTGCGCCGCTGGCCTTCCCCGGGGTTGCCCGGCTTGCCCAGGTTGCCCACAATTGCTCGGGTTGCGTGCTCGGGTTGCCCGGGTTGCCCGGCTTCCACGGCCTTCATCGGGTTGCCCGTCGTTTGCAGAGTTGCCCCGTTGTCCTGCAGCCCGATGGCCCAGTAGCCCAGGTTGCCCAGGTTGCCCAGGTTGCCTAGATTGCCCGGGTTGCATGGTTATCAGGTTGCCGGGTTGACCGAGTTGCCTGGCTGTCCAGTTGCCAGGCAATGCCAAGCAATGCCAAGCAATGCCAAGCAAGACCAAGCAATGCCAATCCATACCAACCCATGCCAAGCGATGCGAAGCAATGCCAAGCAATGTCAAGCAATGTCATACGAAGGCAGGCAAAGCCTAGCAATGCCAAGCAACGCAAAGCAATACAAAGCAATGCGAAGCAACGCCAAGCAACGTCAAGCAATGCGAGGCGAAGCAAATCTACGCAAAGCAAAGCAATGCCTTCCTGGCTGAACTGCTTAACCCCTCCCCTGGATAATGAAGCATCCCCCCTCCCCTTTCCCCTTGTACCTCTTTATCCACGGGATTGAATGTGGTTCAAATGCCACAGCAGGCGGGGAGGCCGAACTACATGATCCCCTCCAAAGTTCCTATCGTAGCTCTGATCCTCATCTCAATCACCACGACCCCGTGAGTTTTATCAACCGAATTGGATAGGTCCAAAACATTGAATTGTGTCAGAAATACTCCTCCCCCCTCCTTCTCCTCCTCCCTCCTCCTCCTCCTCCTCCTCCTCCTCCTCCTCCTCCTCCTCCTCCTCCTCCTCCTCCTCCTCCTCCTCCTCCTCCTCCTTCCTCCTTCTCCTCGAATAGTATTTCCCAGGAGTTGTGTTCCTCCCACATCTCCAAAGAGGATAATGGAGGCCCTTGAAGACCGACGTTGAAGACCGATCCAGGCATACTAACATCGATATCCCCGGGCAAAAGTGCATTATCTCACTAGCATGAGGTTATTTAGGAAGCTGTTTCCCCTAATTGGGGTCGCGCCAGGTTCATTGAAAGATCTTGGCGCTCTCGTCTTTCGACCGTCCAACGCTCTAAGACGGCACAAGAGGCCCGCAAGATCGCCCTGAGACGGCCCAAGTGGCCCCAGAGAGGGCCCCAAGAAGGCCCAAAGAGGCCCCGGAGACGGCCCACGAGGGTCGCAAGAGGGGCCCAAGAGGGGGAACACGAACTGACGCTTCGAGCCCTCCGCCCCAAAATGGACACCGAGGCCGCTCAGCAGGCCCAGGAGGGCCCCACAATGCCCGCAGAGGCTCCAGGAAGGCCTCCAAGAGGGCCCAAAGAACTCTCAGGAGGCCCAAAAAAGCTCTCCAGAGGCTCCAAAAGAGCCCTCCAGAGGCACCAAGAAACCCCTATCTGCATTCAAGGCCCCTGGTCGAAGACCTGGGCTCTCTCCTGTATGGCAGGCCCATAGATCGCTCGTCTTTCTAGCCAGGGCTTCCCGCAGTGGAAGGGAATGCTTGTGAGGACTCATGAGGATGGGATTCGGGAGAGGAGGGTGTACTGCAGCATCAATGATGAATCATGGACTTATTTTGGTTTTCCTCCTCCTCCTCCTCCTCCTCCTCCTCCTCCTCCTCCCTCCTCCTCCGCCTCCTCCTCCTCCTCCTCCTCCTCCTCCTCCTCCTCCTCCTCCCCCCTCCTCCTCCCTCCTCTCCTCCTCCCTCCTCTCCCTCCTCTCCCTCCTCCCCCTCTCTCCCCTCCTCTCCCCTCTCCCTCCTCTCGCCTCCTCTCCCTCCTCTCCTCCTCTCCCTCCTCTCCCTCCTCTCCCTCCTCTCCCTCCTCTCCCTCCTCTCCCTCCCTCCTCCTCTCCGCTCCCTCTTCTCCCCTCCTCTCCTCTCCTCCTCCTCCTCCTCCTCCTCCTCCTCCTTCCTCCTCCTCCCCTCCTCCTCCTCCTCCTCCTCCTCCTCCTCCTCCTCCTCCGCCTCCGCCTCCGCCTCCGCCTCCCGCCTCCGCCTCCGCCTCCGCCTCCGCCTCCGGCCTCCGCCTCCGCCTCCGCCTCCGCCTCCGCCTCCGCCTCCTCCCTCCGCCGCCGCCTCCGCCTCCGCCTCCCCTCCCCTCCGCCTCCGCCTACCGCCCCGCCTCCGCCTCCGCCTCGCCGCCATCCGCCTCCGCCTCCGCCTCCGCCTCCCCTCCTCCTCCTCCTCCTCCTCCTCCTCCTCCTCCTCCTCCTCCTCTCCTCCTCCTCCTCCTCCTCCTCCTCCTCCTCCTAATTAAGGAGCAAGGGGTAAGCATGGGGCAAGCAAGTCCTGAGGGAAACGGCTCCTGAACCCAGGGACCAGGGACCTTCCCCCAGGACAAGATCCTCATCATGTGTCGAATTCTGAAAGTCCCGGAGCCCGTGAGCGCCCCGAGAGCCCGAAAACGGCAAAAACCTCAGGACCAGTTTCCCCCATGGCTCGGCGACATGCAAGAGTGACCCTGGGTCAGTGACCCTTGGTGCGCGGCTTGTTGGGGGGCCGCAGAGGGGGGAGCCAAACGCGAGCGCGCAAGCCGCCGCCGCAGCCCGCGTCCGGCGATCGGGGTACCCCATCGGGCCCACACCACAGGTCACTCCGGCGAAAGGTCACTCTTACGTCCAGTCGAATGGGGAGGGGGCCTCCTGGGCCGCCCGCCTCTGCCGCGCCCCCCCCCCGATCCCAGCACCACCGCCCCCGGCGGACGAGGAGCGGCGGCGCCGCCGAGGCCCCGCGCCGCGGAAGGGCGCCCCTGCCCCGGGGCGGCGGGGCAGCGCCCCCTGCCCCCGCGCGGCGCCGCGGGAGCAGAGGACCGCTCCAGCCTGGGCTCTAGGAAGTCCTCGGTTCGCTAGGGACTGGCGTCCTTTCAAGAGAGCCGAAGCCCTCCCGAAACCCTCTAAAAAAACCCTCCGGGAATGGTTCCGGGAGGCGGTTTCGGAGGGTTCGGGGAGGGTTTTGGAAGGGTTTTCGCTGTTTTCGGTGGAAACCAATCCACAGCGAACCCTGGGCCTCCCAGCTGGGGTCGGAGGAGATGGGGTCGGAGCATCGCGCCGCATCGCCGATGCATCGGCGATGTGGCTCGATGCAGATTCCGTCTTCCCCGCGGACGTCACCGCCGCATCGCCGACGTCGCTGACGCATCGGCGATGCATCGACGATGCATCGCCGATGCGGCGAACGAATCAATTTTGGGGCGAATCAATCCTGCACACGATCCCGTACTTGGAAAACGACCCAGGATGGAAAACTGGAACTGGGGACGGAGCCAGACCTCTGGGGGTCGACGCGGTGAAAAAAAGTACGACGCTGGGGGTACGACACAGGCCCATCCTGAACCCAGCAGCGGCGTGTACGCCACGCCCTCCTGGCTTGGCCGGGAGGGCCGATCCACAGCGCCTGAGTTCAGGGTGGGCCTGGCCAGGGAGCGGCGGAGATGTGCAGATCTCGTCGCACGAAGCTCTACCTCTCTCTCTCTCTCTCGCTCTCTCTCTCTCTCTCTTTCTCTCTCTCTCTCTCTCTCTCTCTCTGGCCGCGGCGACTCGGGGCATGACGCGGTCGGCCTAGGCCGAACCGAGTCGGCGAATCCCACAAGCCCTCCGGGCGTAGGTGGTCTAGGGAACCTCCTCTTCCAACCCCCTTCTTCCCCTTCGGGGAGAGATTTACCCCTCCCCCCTACCTCCTCCCCTGGACCTGGACGGGGCGCCCCGCGAAGTGTCAGAGGGTACTGTTTCGCCCAAGATGGCTCCAAGAGGGCCTCAGGGAGCCCAAGATGACCTCCAAGATGGCTCAAGATAGCCCAAGATGCATCAAGTCGGCTCCCACGATGCTCCAAGAGGCCCCAAGAAAGCTCCAAGACGGCTCCAAGAACGCTCCAAGACGCCTCCGAGATCTCCTAGGAGGCATCCAAGAAGCCAAAATCCTTCCCAAACCTATGGAAAATCAATGTTTTTTGCTTTCTCGCCTTTTCGCTTCCGATGGCCATCCGAGGCCTCAAGATGACTCCAAAATGGCCCAAGAGGGCTCCAGGAGAGACCCAAGAGAGCCCAAAGACGGCCCCAAGAGCACCCAAGAGCGCTCCAAGAGCGCCCCAAGAGCGCCCCAAGAGGGCCCCAAGAGGCGACTTTTGGGGCTCCCCATGGGGGGGGAGGGAGGGGCGGGGCGAGTTGGGGAACCCCTCTTTTTTGATCGATATCCTCCAAGATGGCCCCAAGAGCGCTCCTAAGGCTCCCAAGAGCGCCCCAAGATGGCCAAAAGAGGCGCCCAGACGGCCCCAAAGGCTCTTACGCCGCCTCCTCCTCCTCCTCCTCCTCCTCCTCCTCCTCCTCCTCCTCCTCCGCCTCCTCCTCCTCCTCCTCATCCTCCTCCTCCTCCTCCTCCTCCTCCTCCTCCTCCTCCTCCTCCTCCTCCTCCTCCTCCTCCTCCACCATCCTCTCCCTCTTGAGGTTTCGACGGCTCTCCCCACCCTTTGTTCTTCTGCATGCTCCGCCATCGACCATTGGCACATGTGCATTTGGAGCCCGTTTTCATTATCCGCGATCACGCCCGTGAGCGGCCCCGCACCCCCGCCCCGTCCCGCTCCCCCTGGTCACGACATGATTCGCGCTGGCACCGTCTAGGAACGAGCCACTGATCGGCATTCTCAGACGGCGCCAGCACGAATCGTGACGTGACCGGTGCCCTTCCCCCCCCCCTCGCCCCCCCCGCCGCCCCCAGTCACGCCCGCTATCACTGGGGGATCAAGGAAGCGGTCTCTTGGCGGAGCCAAGACATCCGCCGATATGGTTTTTTCAATCCGCGGCCCCAGAGGTCCCAACCCCTTCCCCAGGGGTGGCTTTTCGTCCTGGATCAGTGGCTGATGGCCCCTGGGCCCGATAACAGGCCCTGGAGGCCGAAATCCAGGAAACACCGCCGGATTGAAGAAATCCCGAAACCCCCGACGTCGTGATTTTTTCACAGTGTCGACTCCCACAGGTCTGGACCCCTTCCCCAGGACCGGTTCCTTGATCCGGAGTCCTTCTCTGACGGTCCCAGGGCCGGCAGGGGCCCCCAGAGGCCGAAGACTGCGAGAAGCCTCCCGTCGCGATCTCTTCACCACGCGAGAGGGTCTGGGCATCTGGACGCCCGAAATGGGTACGGGAAAAATAGGTACAATGCCCAACAACCAATGTTGTCCCAAACCAACAGCGGCCGCTGTTGGGCAGGCGGCCTTCTGTCACGAATGGACACGGGCCGCGGCGGCGCAGACAGCGAGTCCTGGTCAGAATGAACAGGAACTGCTGTTGGGCATCGTACCCATTCTTTCCGTACCCATTTCGGGCGTCCAGAGGGGAGGGAGCCCGGCCTCGCAGGCGCCCACCGCTTCTCGCCCGCAGGGTTAAGTCGGGCATGTCCCCCTGGAGGGGGATGCTCGACGAGACAAATAGAAATACCCCAAAAATACCCTAAAAAATGTCAAGAAACACTAAAATAGTCCCCAGACTATTCTTGGACTATTTTTTGACTGTTTTTGGAAGGCATTCTTCATTTCTCGTCGAAAATCCCCCTGCATGGGGGACAGGCCCGACTTGACCGCCGGGCTGCGGCCGGCCCCCCCCCCCCGTCGGAGCGCGCGGCAGGGCGGCCTCACCGAGGGGCCCACCGAGGAGCCCATTCCTCCATACGTAGCTGCCTCCGCCGCCGGGAGGCGCCCGGAAAATCAGTTACGTGAGCTGATTCTCAAACCCCCCCTTTGCTATCCCCCCCTTTCGCCCGATCCGAGCCTTGCAGGCGCCCACCACCCCCTCCTCGCCCGCTGGGCTGCGGCCCGCCCCCCCCCCCCGTCGGGGCGCGCGGCAGGGGCGGCGCGGGGCGCGCACCCTCGCGGCCGCACGCGGCGCACGGCGGGCCGCCCAGGCCCAGGCCCGGCCACGCCTCCTCGAGGGCAGGCCCGAGAGTTCGGTCGGGCCTGTCCCCCTTGCAGGGGGGATCTTGGACGAAGAATAAGAAATATGAAGGGGCGCTGGGACACACAAATAAATACACACAAATAACAAGATTCCCCATATTTTCGCATATTTTCTCGGGTTTTGTCTTCCCCCCACTTTCCACATCTTCCTATATTTCCTGGGAATCGACGATGAAGTGTGTCTGTGTGCTTTCTTCCCTCCTGAAAATAATCAAAAAATATTCAAAAAGGCTGAAAATAGTCAGAAAATCGTCCCCAGGCTATTTTGGGGGACTATGTTTGAATGCCCCTCCTGTGGAGGGACAGGCCCGACTTGGGCCTAAACGCTGTGTTTCGTTTTGTCTTCGTTGTGTCTTTCGCTTTGCTCTGCCCGTTTTCCAGGCCTCTCTCCCAAGACGAAAAGCAAAACACTGCCGGAGTCCAGCAGAACAGCGTTTGGGTCCAGCACTGGTCGGAAGAAGTGCCATCCAGAAATCAGTCAACCCTGTCGGCGTGTGGAATGGTACGCGTTTTCTTGTTCGGCAGTTGGACACTGAGCGGAAGGGTGGGGGGGATGGGGGGGTCCAGACTCTGGGCCTCTGCTGAGCAAGACTGTCTGGAACAGTGCACCAATGGGAATCCTATGGGGAGCCGTCAACCTGCTTGAAAAAGGCGCCCAAAACAGCCAAGATCTACTCCATGGGGAGGGGAGAAATGGTGCGAGGACCCGCGCCGCTCGGCAAAATAACGAATAAGAGAACGATCACGATCACATGGTTTTGTTCCGTTTGCCTCGTCGCCGTCGCCGTTGTTGCCGCTGCTGCCACGAAGCCCGACGTCACAGAAGTCATCCTCGAGCTGGACTCGCCGCGCCGTTGGGGGACTCGTGGTCGCGCCGTTGAGGAGGTCCGGGGGAGCGGGCCCGGATCAGAATCCTCACCGCACCCTGGTTCCCGAGCTTTGAAGGGAGTCCACTTCCCTTGGAGCCCTTCCCCGCCAGGAGTGGGAGAGAGGTCCCGGGGGATCCCAGGGGGGGTCCAGGGGGAGGTCCCGGGCGGGGTCCTGGGTCAGACTACTGCTCCCCCCAGGGTCCAGGCGTGTCCCGGGGGATGCGCCAGCGGGGGTCCCTGGGGAGGTCCCACCTTCAGGGTCGGCGGCACAGGCCGGAAGGCCCTCACAATAGTAATTACCTGCTTTCGACGATCGGCGTGTAAGAGAAAAATGGGCGCAAAGGCCACAGCTGCACGCGCTGTCCAAGACCGACAGCGGCCGCTGTCGGGCAGGGACGTTTTTTGTTGGCCCCGCGTGGGCACCGTCTGCGGCGACACGGACAGCGGGTCCTGCTCGAGATGGGCAGAAGCTACCGTCGGTCCTCGTCCCCAATCTTTCCGTACGGCAGGCTCGTGTCGTGACGACCCCAACGCTGGTTTCTGATACCACGTGCATCGTTCACTCTCGAACGATCGGCGGCTCTTCGATCGCCGGGAAGTTCCACACTCGCCGACTCTAGGCCACTGGCGGCGTTCAACCTCGAAAGCCCGCAGCGGGGTCGCCAACGGGCCGACACGACACGAACCTGCCGGGCTCGCCATCGCCGTTGTCGCCACAGGAGGAGGGGGAGGAGGATGAAGAGGAGGAGGAGGCGGAGGAGGCGGAGCAGGAGGAGCAGGAGGAGGAGGAGAAGGAGGAGTCGGAGTCGGAGTCGGAGTCGGAGTCGGAGTCGGAGTCGGAGTTGGAGGAGGAGGAGGAGGAGTTGGAGGAGGAGGAGGAGGAGTTGGAGGAGGAGGAGTTGGAGGAGGAGGAGGAGGAGGAGGAGGAGGAGGAGCAGGGGGAGGGCCGACACGACACGACACGTTCGATCGCGCCCGTCCTCGGGGCTCAGCCTCGCCTGCCGGGCCTCCGGCCGGGCGCACGCCGGCGGCTCGGGCGGCGGCGCCGCCAGCAGCTCCAGGTGCGCCTGGAGGCTGGAGGCGACCAGGGGGGGGGGTCGGGGAGGGGGTCGAGGAGGAGGAGGAGGAGGAGGAGGAGGAGGAGGAGGATGGGCCTCGAGAAAATCAGTCAAGAAGGAGGGAGAAGGGCAACTCCTCGGCGGCGAGCGAGGGGGGGAACGAGACGGAGAAAATGCCTTCTCCAAAGGCGGCGGGGGGACTTCTCAGAAGCCCTCGCGCCTTGTGAGAAGTTCCGTTCGTCTTCGGGGAAAGCTTGGAAAACTTCTCAGAAGGCCGGGGGCTTCCGAGCCTTCTGAGAAGGCCTTCTCCTTCTCGCTTCCCCCCCTCGTCCGCCGCCGATGGATGGACCTCGAGAAAATCGGTTGAGAAGGAAGGATAAGCGCAGCTCCACCCAACATCCGTCCCCAGACCCTTCCCCGTGCCCCTCTGGTGCAGCTTCTCGCCCGAGATCCGCCTCTGACGGCCCCAGGCCCGAGAGAGGGCCCCCGGAAGCTGAAAGATGCAAAACAAAAAATCAAAAAACAAAAAACAAAAAAAAAAAAAAAAAAAAAAAAAAAAAAAAAACGGACACCAAAAATCTCGGACCTCGCCCACCCTCGGTGCCGGGCCACCTCTCGGACCCCCCGGGCGGCCCCGGCCTTGAGGTACTCCGTGTGGCACCTCACGTGCGGCCTGCAGTGGCACAGCAGGCGCACCTTCTCGCCCGCGGCCACGCGGCGCAGCAGCCCCCGCAGCGCCCCGCGCACGTCCTGGCTGATGTCGGGCGTGTCCCCCTACAGGGGGATGTTCGACGACAAATAAAAAAGATGCCCCAAAAATGCCACAGAAGGGCAAAAAAATACTCGAAAAGTAGTCCCCCGACTATTTTTCGACTATGTTTTGACTATATCCCCCTGTAGGGGGACAGGCCCGACTTAAGTCCTCGCGGCGCAGCTTCTGCACGGTCCACTGGTGCGACAGCGCCATGGACCGCCTCTCGGCGATGCGCTGGGCCGCGGCCCGCAGGTCCTCGGCACCGCCGCCCTCGAGCACCTCTCGAGTACGTAGGGGATCGACTTCAGGATCGATGCGCCCCAGAATTCTCATGATTTCGTCGAGCCTACGAAAAGAAGTGGAATGCCCCACGCGCATTCTTCTACGTGTTTCTGTCGCACACTCAACGGAAAAATTGGAGGCCTCCTAGATGGGGTCGGAGGATCGCGCCGCATCACCGATACATCGGCGATACGTCGCCAATGCATCAGCGATGCATCGGCGATGCATCGGCGACATCGGCGATGCATCGGCGACGCCAGCGAGGCGAAAATTGTGCTCCACATCGAGCAGCATCGCCGATGCATCGACGACACGGCGCGATCCTCCGACCCCATCTACTCGGACCCCATCTGGGAGGCCTAGATAAAACAATGCTGGGGTAAACCAATTCTGTAGTCGATCCCCTATAGTCAACCCGTATCATAAGGATGCGCGGAAAGGATACAAGGGCCTTGGAGAGCCACGCAAGCGTTTTCCGAACGACAGCGAGAGTCGCTAAGGATGGGCCGAAGGGGCAAGGACGCAAGGGAACTCTTGGGAAGTACTGTGCAGGTTGACCGTACTCGAACCTCGGTCAGGTACTCGTCAAAGGCCGCGCACAGGTCCTCGTGCTCCGCGAGGCGCCAACCGTGGGCGTCGCGCGGGGGCGGCTGCTCGCCGGGCGGGTAGCGCCGGCAGGCGAACGGATTGCCCAGGCACGTGACGCGGTTGCAGATGTCGAGCAGGGGATCGACTGTGCTTAGAAAATCCAGGGCTCGCTAGGGACTGGTCTCCTGTCTCAATAACCGACCCCCCCCCCAAACCCTACGAAAAAACCCTGCGGGAAGGATTCCAGGAGGGTTTTCGGAGGGTTTCGGGAAGGTTTGGGGAGGGTTTTCGTCGTTGTGGTGGGAAACCAATCCCTAGCGAACACTGGGTTTTCTAAGACTAAAGAATTTTACCCCAGAATTGAATTCTTCATCGAATGCACAAAAACACACGCACACGTCTTGCAGAGATGCGAGCATTCCACGCGCGTGGCTGCTCGCAGATTCGACCAGAAGACCAAGAGCCTGGGGAAAAAAGCCACTCTGCAGTCGGTCCCCCGCTCGAAAATGACGTCCGTCGTTCTCGGCCCGGGCGCGCCGTGGAAGAGGGCCTGGCCGGGTGCTGCTAGAAGCGCCCCTGGCCCAAGAGGTGCCCCCAGGACTTCCAGGGAGGCCCCCACGGCCTCCAGCGCACCCCTCACGGGGTCCAGAAGGCCCCAGGGGCTCCAAAATGGAACAGCAGTGGGGAAACCCAAAGGCACCGCTTCCGCTTCTCCCCGGGCCTCTCTCGGGGTGCGCTCTGACCAGAAGCTCGAAGCGAATCCGGCGGTGGCGACGAGGGCCTCCCAGGAGGCCCAAAAGAAATGGGAAAACGAGGGAAGGGTAATTAGAGGTAGGGGGCACCTCTTCCGCCTCTGAAACAAGCTCTCCTCCTCCTCATCATCATCATCCTCCTCCTCCTCCTCCTCCTCCTCCTCCTCCTCCTCCTCCTCCTCCTCATCCTCCTCCTCCTCCTCCTCGTCCTCCTCCTCCTCCTCCTCCTCCTCCTCCTCCTCCTCCTGCACCTCGGGCCAGGGGCACCATCTGGCCACCCGCCGCCTGGTCGATCAGGCCGATGCACACCGCGCGGCCCTGCCAGTGCGCGGCCTCGGGCGCGCGGTGCCGCTCGGGGAGCGGGCGCAGCTCCCCCGCGCTGTGGGCGTGCATGCAGCCGTCGCCGAACTGGCACCTGCCCTCCACGACGAACCAGCGGCAGGGGCGAGTCTTCCAGAGATCCTCCCCCCCTGCAGCCAGGGAAGCCCCAGATCCCTCGCGCGTGGTGGACAAAAAAGCCCTCGCCTGCTGGAGGTGTTCTCCTGCTCTCTCGGCCTCCCCCCCCTCGCGTGGGCGGAGCACGGATCCGTGCCCGCGGCCCTGCGGGCCAAGCCCTTCGCGCTGTGGAAAAAAAACAAAAAAAAAAAAAAAAAAAAAAAAAAGTTCTTCGCGATGTGGAAAAACAAAAAAACAAAAAACAAAAAAACCGCGACGGGAGGTCTTTCCTTATTTTCGGCCTCCAGGGGCACGCACCGGGCCCCAGGACCGTCAAAATACGGCTCGGGGCGAAAAACCGGTCCCGGGGTCCCGGGGAAGGAGTCCAGACCACTGGGGGCCAACGACGTGGAAAAATCACAACGTCGGGGATCCGGAGTGGAGGCCTAGCTCAGCGGTGGCGTGTCTTCCTTGCGCGTTCCCGTGATGCTTTCCCCTCGTTCGTCTTCGAGCGCATACGCAGCAACATAAGAGTGCTACGTTATCTCCTCTGTTGAGTCATTACCGTTTCTCTCCCACTGGCAGAACGCGCTATCCAGTGACCAAATCTGGCCTCCCTCTCCTCCGCTTGGGGCTAAAAACCCAGAAAATCCTGAGGTGACTCGGGCCTCTTGAGGGTCGAAGACGGTCCAAGGGGGCTCTGAGACGGACTCCCCAAGAGGGCATCCAAAAGCAAAATCATTGATTTCCTGTTGGTGTTTGAAGAATGTCCATGCCCTCGCCTGTTCGGCCCCAACAGGGTCCCCAAAGACCCACAAGACGCCCAAGAGGGAACCAAGTCGGCTCAAGGTGGCTTCAACAAAACGGCCATGGAGGCCCCCAAGACGGCCCAATAGGGCTCCAAGAGGAACCCCATGACAGCCCCCCGCAGATGGCCCCCAGCAGACCACCACGGCAGACCAGCACGGAAGACGCTGTGCAGCCACTCACCCCCGAGGCCCCCAAGAGGCTACCAGGAGCCCCCACAACGCCCACGCACTCCAGACGTGCACGCCGCGCAGCGACACGAATCCTTGAAGGGGTCCTCGCCGGGTTCCTCCGGCCTGGCATCGCCACTGCGAGAGGAAACGTCAGGGGTGGCGACTGGCTCACGGGGAGGTGGGACACCGACCTGGAATCGACGATGCATCACCAAGAGATCGGCGAGAGGCCCCCGATAGCGAGTCCGCCCGTCCCTGGGCGCGGGGGGCCCTCGCCCCTCCCAGCCGAGCCCGAGCCCGAGCCGCGGGGAATCTTCACAGAAGAAGAACCACGGCAGAAGCACAAAACCTTTGGCGCTCTGCGCGGATTTCTTGGATCACCGTTGGACCCCCTCCCTGGCGCGCGGAGCGCGCCAGGGGGCGGCGCCGGAGGCGCCGCCAGGGAGGGGCCCAGCGCGGATCCCGAAGATCCGCGCGGGGAACGCCGAAAACTTATGTTCATGCCGATTTTCCTTTCTCGACTTCAGGCAAGCAAGGACAGCTGCGCCGCGGTTCTGGGGCCCACGGTCCCCGCTTCGGCAAAGGCTCCGACTCCGGCTCCGTGCCCTGCCCCGGCTCTGCCCGAGGCCATATCCAGGGCCCGAGCACGCGCCCGAACCCGAGCCTGGGCCTGGGCGATGCTTGGGCGCTTGGGGCTCGAGGCGTCCCCCTCGGAGCCCAACCCCCTGAGATCCGACTATGCAGAAAAGCCATGCGAGATCGCAAAAAATCGCCGCCGGAGCCCACCCCATGCTTCTGGGCCCGCTGTCGAGCCGGATCCATCTGCGAGGGCTCCCGGGTCCGACGCCGGGCGAGGGCGCCCGCTGTGAAAAAATCGCCACACCAGCACCTCAGGGTGAGGTCGGGCATGTCCTCCTACAGGCGGATTCTGGAAGAAGCCTGCATTTGCTATTCAAAAGTTGTGAATTGCTTCACTATACGTTTTTAACCCCCACGCAAAAAATCCCAGACTGTTCTTTGGCCCTTCGCGAATATTCCTCCTGAGGAGGGACATGCCCGACTGAAATCTCAGGGTGAGCCTGACCCGCCCGACGTTGCCCCCGACGGCCCCGCCCGCCGCGCCGCCGCTGGCGCCGGCCAGCGGCGGCGCCGAGGGCGCGGCGAGCCTCGGGAGCAGCCAAGAGGGGGGTGCCCAAGAGGGGGGGTGCACATCGTGACCGGCGGCATGTGCGCGGCCCAGCGGGGGGGCCAGGGACGTGGTGAAATAGGAAGAGGCGCCATGCAATCTGAGCAAAATATCATGGCCCACGCCATGAGATCCACCCCCCCCTACAGTCGGGTCGTTGACCTAAGGAACCCTAAATGAAGAACGAGGCCCCTTTTTCCCATCAGTTAAAGTTCGATTTCCCATCGAGAACCTAAGGAAAACCTAAGGCAGGCTGTGAAACAACCAAGGAACACGGAGCCCCTCCCCAACGAAAAGGGTTCCTTCTTCAGCGCCCCGACTGTAGTCATCACCCCCCTCTTTCCCGCCCGCGAGAGCCTGGCGGCCGCGCCCGCCGCCGGGCCGCGCACGCGCGGCGGGCCGCGCCGGCGCAGCAGCGCCGCCAGCCACGCCGCGCCCGCCGCCGCGCACAGCGCGGCGCAGAGCCCCGCGGCGAGCCGGGCGGCCGCGGCCGCGGAGGGGTGGCGAACGCGCGAGAGCGGCCCGAGGCAGGCCCCCTCGCGCGGCGAAAAAAAGATCACGACGGGAGGCGTGTCCCTATTTTCGGCCTGCTCCTGCTCCTCCTGCTCCTCCTCCTCCTCCTCCTGCTCCTGGTCCTGCTCCTCCTGCTCCAGCGCCGGCTCCTGCTCCATCATGCTCCTGCTCCTGCTTTTGCTCCTCCTCCTCCTCCTCCTCCTCTCTCCTCCTCCTCCTCCTCCTCCTCCTCCTCCCCCTCCTCCTCCTCCTCCTCCTTCCTCCTCCTCGCTCCCTCCTCATCCATTCGTTTCCATACTAAATTTTCGCCGGCCCAACGGGCCAGAGGCGTGCTCAGATCTCCGGTAACTGGTTAACAATTTTCTAGTTCGCGCGCGCGGGGCGGCCCCTGGGGGTCCCCGGACGAAAAGTACCCCGACCAGGTCCCGGCCGGTCCCCGGCCGGGTCCCGGCCGGGTCCCGGCCGGGTCCCCCCGCGCGCTCCATGAGCGCACCAACAGGGCTCCGAGACGTCCCCGAGAGCCCCAAGAAAGGCCAAGAGGCCCCCAAGAGGCCCCCAAGATGGTACACGAGGGGTCCGACATGCCACAAGATCGCTCTAAGACGCCCAAGATAGCCCCCAGACGCCCCAAGAGGCCTCCAAGAGCACTCCCAATAGGGCCCCCGGAGGCAAAAATCATTGTTTTTTCCATAGGTTTTTGAGAGATGTTGGAGCTTCCACCTTTTCGGCTTCCCGACGCCCCAAGACGGCCCAAGAGGCCCCCAAGATCGCCCCAAGAGGGCCCAAGAGGCACCCAAGAGGGCCCCAAGATGGCCCAAGAGGGCTCGAAGACGGCCCAAGAAGCCTCCAAAACGGTCCAAGAGGGCCCCAAGAACGCCCCCAAAGGGGCCCCAGAGAAGGAACACGAAACAACATTTCGAGCCCTCGGCCCTAAGAAGCCCCTACGAGGCCCCTAAGAGGCCCCAAGAGGCCCCCACGGGGCCCTCAGGAGGCCCCCAAGAGTCCCCCAAGCGGCCCCAGGAGGCCCCCCAAATGCCCCCCCGAGCGCCCCAGGAGTCCCCCCAGCGGCCCCAGGAACCCCCAAAGCGCCGCATTGACACCAGGCCCTCGGGCAAACGGCAGACATGAGACTGTATGGGCCGGCGGAATGAGCGAAGCGATTAAATAACACCTCCCCGTCGCACCCCGAGGCCAGTTTTTAGGGCGGGCTGGTTGATTCGCCTGAGACGTCCTCACTAAGTACGACCCTGAAGCGTAAAAAATAGGCAACAATTTCACAGATGGAGGGCGGGTCGTTTTCAAAATAATGTGACTATCGCCTTCGCGCCGCGCACATTCGTTTTTACAAATGTACGATAACTCCACGGGTTCAGGGCGAAACGTTTTCATAATTTGGCTCTTGCCTTAGAGCCGCGTACATTTGTTTTAAACACTTGCAAAAGCTGCACGGATTGAGGGCGGCTCCTTTTCAATGTGTGGCTCTCGCCTTAAGGCCGCGCACTTTCGTTTTCGCGATTTGCAAGAGTTTCTCGGATGTCCATGATCAGCTCACCAGAAATGGTGGTTTGGAGGGACTCCGAATTATGAGGGCACAACAGTTACATTGGTTCGCAGTGTTGAAGTCACACGAACAACGTTCTGGCACGATTCAGCATCGTCAAGACGCAACGGTCAGATTGATCCGCAGTGTTGGAATCCCACGAACAATGTCTTGGCATGCTTCAACGTATTCAAACGGTTGTCTTCCAACGAAACAGTTCCCTCAGTGGAAAGGAACCGTTGGAGGGGCCTCTGAAGCGGGAGCTTGGAGGGAGGGTTATTCCAACATCGTAGATACCTCTTGGATTCACACTGGTCCTCCTCTTCCTCCTCCTCCTCCACCTCCACCTCCATCTCCATTCCTTTCAGGGGCCTGTGAAGAGGGAGCTTGAAGGAGTGTTTTTGCCAGCATCGTTGATGATTATTGGATTTACACTGGTCTTCCTTTCCTCCTCCTCCTTCTCCTCCTCCTCCTCCTCATCCTCCTCCTGTTCCTGCTCCTACTCCTCCTCGTCCTCCTCCTCCTCCTCCTCATCCATTCCCTTTTCCTTATAAATGACTTTTCCCTGTTGCACCCCAAGGCCGCTTGTTTTAGGGCGAGCCGGTTGATTCGCCTGAGACGTCCTCACCACTTATGACCCTGATGCTTGAAGTTGACAACAGCTTCACAGATGGAGGGCGGGTGCTGTTCGAAACATGGCACTCGCCTTAGCGATGCGCACATTCGTTTTAAAAAGTTTGGAAAAGCTTCACGGTTTTAGGGCAGATCGTTTTCAAAATGTGGCTCTCGCTTTAGCGCCGCGCAGATTCGCCTTATACATTTGCAATATTTTCACGCATTGACAACGGGTCCTTTCAGAATGCTGCTTTCGCTTTAGCGACGCGCATATTGTGGTAAAGAATTGCAAGAGCTTCACGGATTGAGGGCGGGTCGTTCTCAAAATGTGCCTGTCGCCTTAGCGCCCTGCACATTAGTTCTCATTTGCAAGAGCTGCACTGATTGGGGGCGGGTTGCTTTCAAAATGTGGCTCTCGCCTTAGCGCCGCGCACATTCCTTTGCAAACTTTGCAAGGGTTTCACGGAATCCCATGATCAGCGTACCACACATGGTGATTTTGGAGGGGTTCAGGATTATGAGGGCGCAACAGTTATGTTGATTCGCGGTGTTGAAGTCACAGGAACGGCGTTCTGGCACGATTCAAGATCGTCAAGACGCAAGAGTCAGATTGATCCGTGGCGTTGGAGTCCCGAGAATGATATCTTGGCATGCTTCAGGCTCTTCAAACGGTTGTCTTCCAACAGGGCAGTTCCCTCCCTCAGAGGAAATGAACCTTTGTAGGGGCCTATGACGAGGGAGCTTGAAGGGAGGGTTTATTCCAACATCGTTGATAACTCTTGGGTTTACACTGGTCCTCCTCCTCCTCCTCCTCCTCCACCTCCTCTCTATGCTCGGCCTCCAGAAGCCCCCACCAGGCCTCGGGAAAGTCAAAGAACGACACAGGACGAAAAACTGGTCCCAGGGAAGCGGACCAGACCTCTAGGGATCGGAGCTGTGAAAAATCGCGACGTCAATAAGGAGGCAACTACTAAGGGGTCTTCGTCGGATGACCTAAAAAGAATTAAGCCCCGTTGGGAGGCTGCTACGCCAAATTAGAGCACGGAATAAGCGGGCTTTAAAGGGATGAAACCTGACTAAGCCAGATTAGGCGGGATTAAGCCGTCTTAAATCAGATTTCGGACCACGACAGAATCATACTTCTACCTCCCAGGAGCTGCATCCGAACGTCAGGGGTCTGGGTCTTCTTGCACCATGTTTCGACTCGCATCGATCTGTGAGGGCCCCGGGGCCCGCAAGCGGGGCGAAAAAAACGCCCGCTGCGCAAGACCTGCAACGCCAGGATCTCGGGGGGGGGGGGCCTGTGAGCCCGCACCCAACCCAGACATTTTTTGGTCGGCGGGTCGGGAGCGGGCCCCTTCCGGTTAAGAGCTAGGCGGGGCGCGCGAAGCACGAATTAGGGAGACAGGGCGCGGGCGGGCGGGGCCTCAGGCGGCCGGAGGGTGCGGAGTACAGGCGGTGCCGAAGATTTGGCACAGGAAAAGGTACGCCAGCAAACCACCCAGACACGCGATGTCCTGAGTTTTCCCGCGCGGGGTCCCTGGAAACCCCGTCCCTTTCCCTGGCAGGTGTTTCATCGCGAGTCGTTTTTGACGGTCCGGGGGCCCGTC